TTCATTGAGAAATAAATTTCACTCGGCCGGTGTTTGATGGTGAAAAATGGTGAAAAAATGTGTGAATCAGTGAAAATTCTCTCCTCCTCCTCCTTCTTCTTCGCCAACTTGTTAGATTTACGAGTTCTTACTGGCTTTCTCGTGTTGGCCTGGCAAATATCGGCTGTAGCAGGAATTATTTCCTTCAATCGGATAAATTCTACTTTGCTAGTGAGAGAGATTGTCATTAAGAGTTTCTTGGCACTTGTGATGTGTCAATCTATTTTTGGGTGAGCAAAGAACTTGCTGAGAAGTCTCTCAATATATCTATTTTTTCCTCATTTACTAAGACAAGACAACCTTGCGATTGTCACAACATTTTATATGGAACTCTCTCTGCTCTGCTCTGATTCCCACGTCAAACAATACGATGTCCACTCACTTGTTGGTTGACTGTGTTGAATCACAAATATTTTATAATATTGTGTGCAAAGAGGAAGGAAAATTCCTGAGAAAATACAGTAGAATTTCCTTCGTCACTTCACATTTGTGACTATTAATAAAGCCAGGATGACGACGAAGAAGGAGGTTTTCTTATTGTTTTTCTTACTGCAATTCTCAGAAAATTGAGCTGATCAATCATTTTATTTAAATTAATGCACACTAATGCTTTTTGTTGGTCAATTTGCGATGTGAGTGTCTCTAATGAATTCTGTATCAAATTAAAAATATCCTCTTTGAGAGCTTCCGCACGCGATGATGCTCGTGCTTCTGTTGAGACGAAGAGTAGATTATTTTGAGTATAATTTCAGTACTAATGTTAGAAAATTGGTTCAGTAGACACACGTTTTTGGGTGGTTTGACGTGTGCGAGATAGATTTTCTGTCGTCATTTTTCTTCTTCTTGAATGTGGCGAGAATTGAGAGTCTTTTCGCACATATTGAAGAAAAATCTTTTTTTGCGTTTGCCAAAACTGTGAACTCTTTTGAGTGATATTGAAGAGATTATTTGTCTTTCCACCATTTTTCTTCATCATTGATTATTTATCTATATGTGTATGTAATAGAAATAATCATTGAAATTCAAAATTTTGATACAGAATAATTATTGTATATTCTCAAAGCAATTTCCTTTGCCCTTGGCGAATGTGTGCAGTAAATATTTCTCAAGCTTTTTAAGTGCTGCAAACGCAGTATATTTTCATGCAAGTAGATAATACATCACAAGAAGAGAGACTTTTAAACCTTAATTTCTCAAACAGTAAAGTGGATGAGAAGAAGAAGAGGTCAAAATCGTAAACATCAAAAAGTGACTTTCGATGAACAAATGATTTTTACTTGAAACACATTTAGCAGTTTTTCCACTCATGAGAAAAGTTCAAGATCATGAAAATATAACAGCTATACAATGTAGGGTGCAGTGGAGTTATTTTTAACGGCTATAGGGGTAAATGGGGCAGCTTCAGATTGGGGCAGCTTCAGATTTCTTAATTTTCTCAGAGATTTTTACATGAATAAATTCCTGGTCTTCACACAATGTTTGTAGTCCTTAAGGACTACAATTGACGAAAATTTGCACAGGATTGCCTTTACTGTTTAGATAAAATAAGTGAAAATTGAAAATCACTCACAAACTAGAATTTTGCTGCCGAATTGATTGCGTGTTTTCTCCATTAAAAAAGCCACAATTCGCGTGAAACACAATCAAAGGTTATTGAGAGTTAAGTAGAGATTCTAAATATGCCCGAACTTTTCCTCCTTGGCACGGCCTTTTCAGTGGGTGGTGGAAAATGCACAAACACTGCACACGGGGCAGTTTCGGATCGCCACGGACTGACAACAGCGCGCTCTGACAGTCTGACGCAACATCACGGTCGAAATTTTCTTGTGGCAAATATTGAAGATTTTTCACAAAGTGCCGTTCTGTGCTGCATTGCTTCATCACGTTAAACGACTTCTTAGTTGAAAAGTGATGAAAAACACGCGAAAATCACTGATTTGCACTGATTTGATTTGTGGTGGCACTGAAGTTGCCACCACTCACGCATGGTGGCGTTGCGATGCAGGAAAAATGACGGGCAACTTGCTTTTCGCTCAGAAATTTTGACAGTGCGTGCAAGGGTCCAGAAAAGTCGCGAAAATATTACTTTAAAGGCGATTTTTAGGGAATCAAACAGTTTCAGTGCGTAGAATAGATATCAAAGTGATCATTTGCCCGCGATTCAACAATTCCACAATGGAATTTAAGGTAAATATCAGTGAAAATCTGAAACTGCCCCAGAGCAATCCGAAACATCCCCGTGCGGGGCAGTTTCAGATAAATTACAATATTATTTTCAATCTCCTTTAGAGGAAAAAGGATCAGTTTTAATGCCCAATGAAAGGCATTTTCTGAAGCTCAATAGACGAGAGTTTATTTGAGCGTTGTGATCATTTCAATATATTCAGCCGATTTTTCAAGAAAAAATCCTAAAGTTGGAACAGCATTTTGAATCTGAAGCTGCCCCACTTACCCCTAATACATATTTATAAGCATAACACAGTGAAGAAACTTTTATGGAAATATTCACATATTAACGAAACATTGTAATTTCTCATTATGGTCATATTTTCATTGCATAAACCAATGATAAATAATTTTTCGATAGTCTTTTATTGGGTTCACGCGTGCAATATAGTTTTCCACTTTTCCCAAAAACAGAGAGAAAACAGAATTTCCGTTTTTCTCGATGAAAAAGAAGAGTTTTTGGCGCCTGCAAAATGACGTTGATAGACTTTTGAGCAATGGTGAAAATCAATGGGGATTTTTTTTTTATGGAAAAGCAAACAGAAAACAAGAGATCAAGCAATAAATGAAAATTACAAATAAACACACCATCGAGAAGATTAATATTCCATCAACAGAAATAGACACAGAAACTGAGAGATTTTCTGTGTACTTTTTCAATGTACAGAATTTTAGCTTCAGTGCGATGCGAATGTGTGGCATGGAAAATGGGGTGGAAAAAAGACCAATTTCCTTTTTTTTTTTTTTTACAGTCTAACATTTCCACATTAATCTCGCTCTCGAATTCTCGTGTGTAGGTTAATTGTGGAAATACTTGTAATGGGAGAACCAAATAGCAAAGAAAGCAAGGCGATACAAGGTTTTGTGGTGGGCTAAAAATCTAATATAAAAATGAAGAGAGATGTAAAAGTGGAAAAAGAGAAGGTAAAACTCTTGAGATTCCTCAAGAGTGTGAGTGTGTGTGTTGGCAAAAGACCTTTCTCGAGTTTATATTATTTCGCAGATGTGGAAAAAATAGAATTATGTCAGATATTTGTCATTCTTTGTGGTGTTGTTAATCATCATTAATGTTAAAGAGTGTGTGGAATGGTTACATGAGAAGGAGAGGATCATAAACATACATTTTGATTGAGATATGACAGAAAAAAAAGAGGTGTTTGAAATAGACTTCGACAGAATTCCATTCACATAATCTAATTTTAGACACATTTTGCTGTTTGTGAATTGACGTTGCAATATTTTCCAATAATATTTTGCCCACTCTTGAAATTGGAGGTGCAAATTTTGTGGAAAAGAGATGGAAATACATATATAACAACAAAGTTCAAAGTCGTGCTAAAATTAACTCTAATTATGCATAACCATTTTCTGTCTCTCTGGCAGACAAACAGCTCTTTTCTCCTACTCGAACGGCGGAAATACAACACAAAAACACTGTATATATATATAATATAATATAATATATATATATATATATATATATATATATATATATATATATATATATATTTATGTGTCTTTTGAGAAGTGTATTAAATTTTACTTTTGAGAGTCCCTCAAATTAATACATTTTTCCCATTCCTTTTGTGTTCAATTTCATATAAACATGAGTCATGCAGCGAGAATGCTGCTGAGACGAGAGCATTTTGGTTGGTGTAATAACCAAAAAGAAAAAAAAGAGAGATAGAAAGATCATTTTTTGTTAATCATCTCCAAACCGACAGACAATATGCCGGCAATTTGCACATGAATGTTTAAATTGTCGATTCACACCTCGTAATAAAGTGAATGAGAAAGAGGGGGAAAAAAGTTCTCTCATTTTGTGAAAAATACCACATGAATTTAGGTGTGAATTACAATAAATACTGTGATAATTTGCGCTTAATTTTTTTTAGAGATTCTCTTCCTGATCGCAGGGTTGATTTTTTTTGACGGGTTTTCGTCAATATTTGTTCTTTGATGATTTTGCAAGGGAAATTCTTGAGAAATCACTCTCATGCACAATTAGACTAAAAGCTCTCTTTCTCTCTCTTCTTCGCTATTTCCTATCCTCGAACATCAATTAAACTTTCATTAGTGAATGAATTGTGCAGTCGAGAGAAAATAGTCGTCGCTTGAAATTGGCTGACGGAGAGAATATATTCGGTGAATTTGAAGGTGGAAGTATTGGGAGAATGACAAACATCTGGCAAATTGGGAAGAAGAGGTGTGTGCATCGCACATTTTGAAAGAGATCCACTGGTGAGAAGTACTAAGAATAGACGGTGAAAATGTTGTTGTTGTTATGTCTTGTTAAAATAGAAAAAGGCGAATTGTATGTGTGCTTACAGAAGGCAAATCCTTGGCCATGAGTCATTTTAGAGTTCTTGGAAGAAATTGTACTTATGCAAAGTGGTTTAAGAGCTGGGATATCTTATCACAACTCTTCTCAGTGGTCAGTTGAACAAGTTAAATGTCACGAAATCATGTAGCTAAGAATGCGGGAGTTTCCTAATAATCAATAAAAATTTGTAAAATTAACAGGTCGTTGTAAAAATACGGATTTCGTATTTCCGTTCATAAAAGTTACCAATTTCGTATTACAACTTTACAAAAGACTTTGCAAGGGTCGATTTTCTTGGTTTTCACATGAATCTTCCAGCTTTTCATATCTTCACGCGACGAAAAATGAATGAATTGACTATAAATGTTATGACTGTAAAGTTGCAATTAGGTCTTTATCGTCTCTTTTGCAGAAATGTCCACGCTGGCCGAGGTGGAGAATCGACGGATTTGCCTCGTGGGAACAGTGCTGGATGACGAGGGTGTCGTGAAGGCGGCCCAGAGCTTTGGTATCCCGGTGATTACCTCAGAGACTGGCTCGGAGTTTGTCTTGGACGATGATTGGGTCACATATTTCGTGTTGAGCCACTTTGAGGGCCCAATGTATGAGGCGATACACAAGAGTAAACACAGGTGAGAAAGGAGATGAATTTTCTCATAAATCTCGCGAAATCGTATTTGAGACACTTTGAATTGCGGCGGCTTTAATAATCTTATTGTCTTCCACATTATTATACACTCTATTTGTTTGACGGACTCTTTATTTCCTCGAGCTTGGTTTTTTTTGTTGTTGTTTTGAGAAATGCAATTAAGACGTCTTAATCTGAAATAATTTGGTGGGGAAAAATTTTCACGGAGGGCTTTCTTCTTTCATGTTAATTTCCTCTTTCTCATTGTTTTCGCGAGGCAATTTCAAATGGTTAGAAAGAGTTGTCTTAATTGCACAATTTAATCTGGTTTTATTAGCATAATTGTGAGGATTCTTCCATTGAGTATTAGATAAATTGGTGGAATTTATTACAATTCGCTCTGTGTGTTGTTGTGTCTTTGCAGGATTTTAGGTCCACCAGCTCTCAAGGAGATCTTCTTTGCAAAAGAATCTCTGCCGAGCAGCAATCGACCAATCTACAATTATGCAATGAAAGGTGTTATAATTTGCTTCACTGGCATTCGTCAGAAGGAGGAATTGGTGAGGATTTCATTACATGATTTATTTCTTTCTCTATTCTATTTGAGTATTGTAACTTATATCCTCACGACATGACTAAAGGTGAATAACTTACTGTGAATTTTTGCCACAAAGTCACTCCCACAGCGTATGAAACTCGCCCTTTTTCTCAGTGACCGGCAAAATTTATACATATAGTATAATGGATGAACTTTCGTCTCTTTCTCTGGGTATTTTTATCATAATGTATAAAGAAAGGGTGAAAAAAGAGTGTAGAAGAATGGCATATTAACGTGCGACGCAAGAGTGTCGGACAGGTGTTTGTTTTTACATTCACGATGGAATCTTCATGTTGGCCTGTGATGGTGGTTATAATAATTGTGAAGAAACCTGTAAATTTATGCTCTAATGATTTTTCCTGCAGTCAACGTCAGGAGGGGAAATGGAGAGTATCAGCGAGACAGAGAAGAGCAACCGCCAATGGTGGTATTTTTGGGTTGTACATAAAGTTTGTGGTAAATGATGGGGGACTTTGTGTTGTTTGGCAACGTCATGGGGAAATCCCTAAAATTAGATGTGAAGAAAGGTGATTTCAAGGGAAGCATTATCGATAGCAATCGTGTAATCAGAGTTTTACCTGTAAAATCCCTTCTCAACTTTGATAAGGTTGAGATGAGAAAGACACAGTTTGTCAGGTTTTCTCATCTACCTGTTGTGTTGCTTTCTACAAATTTGCCCAGAAAAATGGCACAAAAGCCATGAGTCATTGAAACTCCTTGGAGTTTTTAAATGGTTTAAATAGCCTTCTTGACTCCGGTTTTTCTCTTTCTTTCCTCCCAGACACACTTGGTGAATTTGATTCATGCGATGGGTGGAAAAATCCGAAAGGACATGAATTCGAGAATAACTCATCTAATATGCAACAATAGCGGTGGTCAAAAGTATCAGTAAGTAAACTCTCTCTGTGTGATGATAAACAAAACTGTTACGCTAAAATGCGCTGTTCTTCTTTTCCACTCTAAAGGTACGCAATGACTTATCGGCTGACTGTTGTGCAGTCAGATTGGGTGCTTGACGCCTGGAAGCGTCGAGATGAGGTGAATTTCAGTGCGAATGAGGAGGATTTCTCAAGGATACACCGCACTCGAGCCTTCGAGGGACAGAGAATATGTTTCTTCGGCTTCTCACCTGAAGAACATCAGCACATGGTGGATGTTCTTGTGTCAAATGGTGGTGTTCCTACCACTCTTGATGATCCAGACTGTACACATGTGGTGAGTGTTGTTGTTGTTGTTGGTGAACACACATAGAAAATCCCTGTCAAATTCCACTGTCCAGACGTCTTGTTTATTGTTGTGATTACCGTAAAATATCCTTAAGGAAGTGTTGTTTATTTCGTCTGGCAGACAAACAGAAGAAAATAGTTTTTCTTGCACTCATTTCACAAAAGAATTGCATCAATGCTGAAATTTATTCATTCAAACTCTTAACACTACATTTTTCACACCGGTTTTTTGCACCAAAATTTAATAATATGCCAACGAGAATTGCCACACTGACGATGGGAGAGTATTTCTTGTGGGCATTTTGAGGAGCACATCATTGTGAATGACAAAAATATGGTGTTTTGATGCACTTATCTTGAGCGCATTTTCAATTGTTGCATATTTATGGTGTTTGTTTGATGTCCAAATAATCCGGCGCATTGTTAACTTGCGTTGAGTATTGCAGAAGAGGTTGTTATTGCTTTCACCGAAACAGTTAATGCGAAAGTGAATATAGAGCCACGCGACATCAAATCCTAAGCTATGTCAAAACATGGGCTTTATTCTGTGATTGAGCAGAGAAATCAATGTTTGATTTATGTAATGAATGCTTTATGCAATGCTTGTGGTCTGTGGCTCTATAATTACTCTCTGCAGTGTGTAAAATATAACTAAAATTGTGGAGATGAAAGAGCCAAAATCACATTTTCAGGTCATGTCAAGTACGGGTGGTCATTTTCCAGACAACCTAAATCCCTCTCCTGAATTAAGTGTCTTGGAATTGCCACAGAAGAGTGAGAAGAACAATGATGGTCCTCTGCTGACGTCCAGTCCTGTTCGGGATGTGGATAAGAATGACAAGGCAGTGCCACAGAATGCCACGGAGAATGACGATGTGAAGATATCACCAATTGCATCTCGGATGACTCTTGTTGAGGATTCCTTTGTGGGGACTTCTTCAGTGCTGCAGCCGATCAATGAGGAGGAGGATGAGTTCACGATGAAGCGCAAGCGAGACAGCTTTGATAATGTCTCATTGGCGTCTATTGATTCTCTGGCACCGGCCAATGTGCTGTCGGCAAAGAAGCCCAAATTGACACGAACAGGATCAATTAGTCGCACATTGAAGCGCAGCATGAGCTTCATGACACCCATTTCGAGTATCTTCAGGCCAAATCGCACATCTGTTGATCCAAATGCCTCCATCACGTCAATAACATCGATAGAGTCGACGAATTTGAATGAGAGCATCCGGAGGCCGATGAAGGAGGTGTTCAAGGGCATGAAGGAGAAGATCACGCGATCGTCCAAGAAGGATTTCGTGCAGACGCCAAAGTCCAGCAAGTGGTCAGTGGAGAGATTCGGGAGGAAGGAAGACAATTGCCGAGAGGCCAATGAAACTCTCGATGTCACGGTGAACACGCTGATGGAGAATGCTGACGAGACGACGTCGTGTGGCGGTTTCAAGACACCCATCGCCCCCTCTAAATCCCATCCCACTATCAGCAGACACTCTGTCTGCGGCACACCCACGGATTATCCCACGGCGAGTCGATGTGATACCAGCAATTCGCGCAAATCCCTCATTCAATCGACTTCCAGTGTCGCAACGTCGTCCACATTGCCGGTATATAAGTTCAAAAAAAAATACGTAGAATGTGTTTAATTAAAATGCAATTTTTGCGCGCATTTTGCCACAATTACAAAACATCTTTCTCTCTCTGCAATTGTGGGAAAAGAGTGTGTGAAAAAATCCGGAAATTCATAAGTTCGCGAGGGAGCGCGTCTTTCATGCAAATCTCACAAAAAACTTCATCGTATTTTCATCTTTTCTTAAAGCACTATAAAAGAAAAATATGGCAGCACATTTTAATGCTGAATTTTATCACTGAAGAAAAAAAAACTTTTTATCACACCATTGAAGCACACTTACTTTCTAAGGCTTCTTTCACGAGTGAAACTCCATGGAAAAAATGTGATGCATTATAATATGAGAAGAGAGAGAGAAAAAATATCACTAAATGTTGTTTTGCCTGGTATTTGCTGTCAGTGTTTATTGTTTCTCTTCTTTTTTTGTGCTACATGTTTGCATTTATAGGTGTAAAAGAGTCTCTTTTTAATGTCTTTCTTTTCTCTCTCTCAAATCATCAGGAAAATATAATAATAATATTCTTGCATGACTTTCTCGCGCTTATTAATTTTCGGGTTCAAAATGGTGGTGGCTGAATATTTCTTGATTTTCTTTTATTCTAATTTTTTTGGTGTTATTTATTGTGTTTGCTTACAATAATAATATCTTTTTTCACATTCGCACAAAAAACACCAACACTTTTTCTCTGGCAAAAAATTCACTTTGAATACACACAAATGGACAATTTTTTTGGATTGTAATTAAATTGTGCTGCCATTTCAACATTTGAGACACACAAAAGACACTGTTTTTGTTTTTGTACAGAATGTTGTAAAGTGAAAATTTGATTGGTGCATTTAGAAAAAAAAAGATTTGTGAAATGTTTCCATATTTCAGCCACTACTTTTATCTCTATTGTATTTTATTTATATACATATATTTGGAGTTTGGAATTTACAAGAGTCACATGAAAGCAAGAATTTAAATTATGCGTTGTTGCGGACACTACAAAATTCCCAAAAGAGAGACTCTAAAGGTAGAGAATAATTTAAATAGCATTTTATTTTGTAGTCACAGCTTTAAAAATGAATGTGACATTATCAATTTCATGTGATTCTTGTACACCAATGTGAATTCAATGAATGTACTCTGAGGAAACTATGCTGAAAGTATGAATTCTATATCAATAGATCGTCGATGAGCACGCAGTTCATACGAAATTGGATGTTAAGAACTCCAAGACTCACATCCTGAAGGCCGACTGGTTTTGGTACACCATTCAGAATGGATTTGCGGATGAAACTGATTACAGATTCGATGACGTACGTATAAAACTGCGTCTTAATCCTATTAGAAAGTGGTTTAATGCATGAGTTTTCTCAGTATCTGGACAGCATAGCCAACACGCCGTGCAGTGATCGCAGGGATTCGTTGCCGGTGACATTCAACAAGAGGAAGCGAAAGCGTCTGTCGCGAACGATCAAGGAGGAGTTGACGCCTTTGGGCATCGGCAAGAGGCGTTCTTCTGTGTCAGATGTTGGACTGTTGTCTGTCTCTGGATCTTTCTTAGAGTGCACAACGAGTCCGGATAAGAATGACGTGAGCAAAGTGATTCCGGAGAGTGAAACGACACCAGAAGTGCCAACATCGAACAAGAAGCAGTCAATGCGTTTCAACCATTTTCTTGATTTCTGCCAGACAGAGTCAAATTATGTGGGCATCTTGGACACAATAGTGAAGGTGAGGAAATTTGCTGTATTTGCCATCTACTTAGGAGGACATTAACGTCCAATTGTGGGACACAGACTTCTCCATTAGAAGAGTGTTTGCTTTACTCTGGCAGATTGTCTGCTTGCCGACCAACCATAAGTAGTTCTAACGCCCACTTTTATATAGAATAGTATTTGCCAGCATTGAATCAAATTAATGCTTGATGTTCTGTTTGGCAGTTGTTCAAGGAGCCACTGGAGAAGATGGCCGACACAAATCCAAGTGATGCTTTGCTGAATAAATCAGAGATTCGTGCGATCTTCAGTAATTTTCAGCCAATTCACGATGTTCATCTGAAGATGCTGAATTGCATTAAGGAGTTGCAGGTGAATTGGAGTGAAGAGTGTCTAATTGGGAAGGTGATTCTCAATCATCGGGATGACTTGATAAAGGCATATCCGCCTTATGTGAATTTCTTCAGTCAAATGAAAGATGCTCTTGTCTTATGTGATAATCAAAAGCCCAGATTTCATGCATTTCTCAAGATCAATCAGGCAAAACCTGAATGTGGTCGACAATCACTTCAGGATCTGATGATTCGTCCAGTACAGAGATTGCCAAGTATTAGTCTTCTAATCAATGGTGAGCTGTGTGTGTGAAAAAAAGATGAAAGCCGATTTATTAACATTGCTTTGTTTATTGACAGACATTCTTAAGCACACACCAAAGAGCAATCCGGACGCGAAGAAGTTGGAGGAAGCTCTGAGAGCTATCAAGGAAGTCATGACGTATATCAATGAGGACAAGCGCAAGACGGAGGGACAATTAGCCATGTTTGATATCTTTAATGATATTGACAATTGTCCAGTGAGTCTTTTTTTTTGCTTGAATTTCATGTTTCTCTATGTGGATAATTTATTTGTGTGTCTTTTCTAGCCTGATCTTGTGTCAGCACAGCGAAGTCTTGTGTCCAAGTGTGAAGTCACCGAACTCTCAGATCAACTGAGTGGTCGTGGTGATGCGTTAATGCTGTGTCTCTTCACTGATAACATTGAGGTGTGCAAGAAGCGCTCGCGCGGATTTAACAATGCCAAATCGCCCAGTACCACAATGAATGGTCTCAATGTGACGACCAAAGTGAAGTCATATAAGCATATTAAGCTCATTTCACTCAGTTCCATTCGATTTGTGGTGGACATCAGGGACAGTCCGCGCGCCTTTGCGCTCAGTTGTCGGCTGAGCAAGGAGAATAAGGACAAGGAGTACTACTTTAGCATCAATGAAGAGGAAGTGGATAAGACAATGTATCTGCGCAGTTTGTGTAAGCAACTTGCGGAGAATTCATGTCGTGCTGATGCCGATCAATTTCTGGCCAGTGTAAATTCTTCAGAATTGAACATTGACATCAGTGACTTCAACATTGGCACGCTATCGAAGGCATTTAAGTTTGCCACGAGAACGAGACTCAAGGTATGTTTCAAAAGGAGAATGAACTTTTGCATGGGTGAAGAGATGATGATTAATTTTCACATTAAAAAGGTTGGTCGAGCATTCTCCTTCAATAAGACGCCGTCCAAGCTGAAGAGAGCCGTGTCGACAATGATGACAAACTCCCTCACGCCGGCTTCGCAGTTGGCACAGATGAAATTGGCCAGTTGTAACAATATTAACGTAGGTATTGTCACACTTTCACCTTCATTTTCCGCTCATGCTTCGCCGAAAAGATGCTGAATTGATATCTGAAAGCTTTGATTTGAAGATCGCGATTTAAAATTTATGTTAAAGCTTTTAAAACTTGTCTGCTCTCCTCTAATATCTCTTAATGTTACAGATAAATCTAAATTACTTCGGTTAATTCTATGTAATTCAGGTGGATATTTCAAGAATTCGTCCTTCACATTCAATAAATTGCTGTGTCACTTGAATATCATCATGGAAATCACTATAAAGAAGTCATTTTTCAATTTATATAAAATTGAGTAAATGATAAAGTATGCTCACTTGCAATTGTATTGAAGATGAATATTTAAAGTGTCAATTCAGCTCTTTTTCTATCACTCTTCCGTAATCTGTCTTCTTTTTCACTAATTTTCATCTGCACTAAGTAATTCTTTCTCTCTCTCTCTTTTCCTTCATGTCATTCCCCACAGTAGAAGAGCCAAAGGCATGGCAAAATATATGAAAGCTTTTGATCTTTGATTAGGAAATTGGTGAGGAGGAGAAGGTGTCGAAGAAGGAGACACTGATGGCACCAATGTCCGTGCAGCCCACCCGAAAGGCCAACGCCCTCATGGCGGGTCTGCGGAGGATTTGATCTTATTCGACAGGCAGGGAAAATTCACTGTAGTCCAGATGATGATCACAAAAAGATTCACAGAACGACAACCTAGTGAGAAATACTTGTGTATATCTATTTAGTATTTAGTTGAACAAAGCGTTCTTTTCTTTCATTTGTATAAGGTAATATTTGTTTTTCTTTTGAACACCTATCATAAAACCGCACAAATGTAATTAAGGTTGAAATTGTATTTTGTGCGAGAGAAAAGATGGATGAAATCGTGAAGTTGAGATAAGAATTGCGATTATATTAATCGACACGTTGGTGAAGAAGTAAAAAAAAACACAGGAAAATGTCAGAAAAAAATTTCAAATAGTCGATTAGTTGAGAGTTACATAAATTATGTGAAGAATATAGAGGAATATTTATAGAAATTTTAGTGAATAAGTAAAGAAGTAATTAGGATTTTTAACATTCTTATTTTGTAAGTGATCTTTTACTGACTACAAGTGTAAGAATGTCTTTTTCTATAACATGAAATCATCTTCAACATTGACAAGAGCACAATTCTTTTTTAAGAGGTTTTCAGTGAAAGAAATAACGTTATGTAAATAATGTAATTAAATTGATAACTATTGGAAAATGAGAAATTGTTATTCAATTCTGGCGATTTGCACATTTCAGGGCGGCTCGCATGTCACATCGGTTTTCTTTGAAATGATTCGAATTGTTATTAAATACTTCGCGTTCAAATTGTGTTGAAAAACTGGGGAAAACGGAAAACATCGCAAAATAAATGCAGTCAAACAATAATAAGATGTTAAAGGTTTGGTTTCAGTTAGAGCGTTTACAGACTTGCAGATGATCCACGAGAGGATAAGCGAGAACTTGAGTGTGTACAATTGATAGCTGGTTGAACGCTAAATTGCGGATTATCCCTAAATGTATCAAAGGATCAACCAGTTTTTTCTCATGGTTCAGAAGCATTTGACAGCTCAAAACGCACAAAATGGCGCATCTCTTGCAAATGATTTCTAGGGATCTTAAAATCATTAAATTCTTTTTCGAATCTTCGGAATTTTAACGTAAAATTTCACGCTTTTGACAAAATCTAGACAAAATTAACAAATCAACCACGACTTGTCGCTGATCTGACCTTTACACACTCCGAAAGCTTAACTTTCGGTTTGAGGGTAATCCGCAAGTCTGTAATCACTCTAACAGGAAGAATTCAACACATAATTATACAATTTATGAGTTTGTTTATCGCACAATCCGCTTGCGAGTAGCCTTCATCCCTTGCAAGAGAGAAGAGCGACTTTTTTACAAGCTTGAGGCAGTTTTTCATGCGATTCACTGCGCGTGAGGATAAGTTGTCGTGTGGAAAACACGTGACAATTTAACTGCCAATTGCGCGCGATCAATTATTTCACAGAGTGTGCAACGGAGAGTGTCAATGAAAATTGGCCATTTTGGTGGCTGGCCAAAAAAAAAAGAATTGAGGAATAATGTTTCTGGAGAGCGCAAATGAGCGTTGGTGGATAACAAAGTCCAGACAGTGGCCAAAAGAGGTATTCAAACTAACAGAAAACGCATGTGTTCTGCTTTTTTCCAGATCCAACCGAACACACTCGCCGATGGGAGGCATGGAATATTTTTCGGGAGGTTCGATGCCATCTGCAGTCAAGTACAACTTCCTTCGGATCTGGGAATTTCCCACTCGACGCGATCCTTCACCTTTTTCGAGGCGCCCTTCGACGGATCTTCGCCACAAAAATGAATGACACGCTGTTTTTGCTCTCTTGCCTCTCATCCAAGTTGATTGCAAATTTATGACCAGTGCGCGCACTGGCGAATGCAATTGTGGCGACAACACTTGGCGATAGGGATCTTTTCCGCCCAATAGATGGTCTTGAACTTGAATTGATCGAGGGGAGCAGCTCGTGTTGGTGGCGTTTGATGAGGGGGAAAAGTGCCGCCGCCAATCGAGGGCCTCTTGAAGCCCACGTTTTCACTCATTTCCAGATCAAACTTCTTCGAACTAATTCAATGGAGTACAATCGACTTGGAACCTTATTCCGCGGTTTTCTCTCTGCACTGTCGACACTGTGCTGTGTGTTTTGCGGGAATTTCTTCCCCCACTCCCGGGGAGCTTCGTGGCCTGAGACTCTTCTATAAAGTCCTCACTTCACCAGAATTTTATCCAATTTGTCAAGTGGCTTCAGTCAACTCATAAGCTCTCCTTGACTTGGGATATTGAATTGGTTTTTTCTTTGCTCTCTCTCTGTTAAACAACATTCAGGTGCTGTGCATTCTCGTGATTACACATCAGATCCTAAGATTAAGACACACAGGGCTAAATCACTGCTGCGCATCGCAACGCCCAACAGCAATCCGAATGAAATACCGTCACAGCCAAGGATTGATCCTGCAAATACAGTTTCGCACGTTTCTCAGTGATTTTGTGCCGGAAATTCGGTGAGTTTTGCACAAAAGACACAGAAAAATGTTTAATCACCTGGCATTTTGTGCTCTGTTTGCCTCATTGGCTGTGTTGATAATTAGCACAATTTCTGCGCGAAGAGCAGCAACCGTTGCAATCCGGTGAAAACCAAATTTGAGCAGAAATTGAAAGCCAGCGACATTTTTTCGAATCACACACGACGCGATCAATTTTTACGCAAGACGCGCGCACACACGAATTGTGAATCTTTTTCGGACTGTTCGCGCCACTCAATTTCACTCCAAATTGGACGCAATAAAATGTCCATTTCTCTCGATCAATCGATCAGAGGGACTTGCGATATTTCGCATCTGAGACACTTGCAAAAAGTTGTGTGAAATTCATTTTATGTGTGGTTTTGTGGAGGTAAAACGAAGAAAAAACACCATGCAAATTTCGTGCACAGGGTGGGGCAAAATGTGGACTTTAGCTTTCTTGCATTTGAAAAAGTAATTCAGGTTTGATGACGAAAATTGGAGGAATTTTTATTTTTAATTCAATTCAGCAAATCTGTTGCATAATTGCCGATCTTCCTCGGCTGCATTTTTGCGATTCCACTCAATTTGCAACGGCGCTTATCATGCAATAGATTTAATTCAATAAAACACCCATTAATGATCTCTTTTTCTCATCTGCTCGCATTCTAATTGCCTCTCAACGTTGTTGCACTGCTGAAGGACTCGCCTTTTGCATGTGATGCAAAACTCCAACATTTAATTCACCATTTTTTCTATTAAACATTGGGAGAGGGAGAAAAAGCTTAAATTCCACACAGAGAAATATTCATTTCCTGAATGCGCCTCCCGAATTGAAGCGTCATCGAGAGCAGTTCTATCTAACTATTTCTCGTTTAGACGCTAAGCAAGGCGGAATAATAAGAATTTCGTGCGCGTTCTTGGCCAATAACCGCGCGGAGAATCTCTTGGGCGAAGAAGTGCGGCAATAAATCCTATTCTATACGTTTAGATGTGAGTAATTTACAGTTTTTTGCCCGAAGCACTTCTGTAGCCTCATTTTTCTGCCGTGATGTACGCGATCTTTTTGCACGGCATCCGTCGTTGTGCCAAACGAGGTGAATCTCACTAATCATTCCGGGGTCTTTGGATAGGAAGTTGGCGTGATTATCTGGTCTGTATTATCGGCATTTGCATATGCATTTAGACAATTCCTAGTCGAGGAATTCGATTTCAATGTCTGATCTGTTGACTAGTTCAAGGACTAAGAGATTATAGCGGAGTGCGGGGAATTCTCAATGTTTTGTACCGAATAAGTGATAAACTGATGGCGTTTTTTGTCCTCAAAAACAAGAGGAAGTGTTCATTGTTTGTGCGTTTTATGATCGGCGACAAAGTAAAAATTCTATAGACTTCTAAGAACGCACAAAAACATCAATCTCAGAGCATTATCTCACTTGCTGCTTATCGATGTGAATTGCTTGCATTTTTCAAGACGATTTTTAAGGAATCTGAATGATTTCAGTCAAACATATAATTAAAAACCGAAAAAGAATAATGAAAAGATCATTCTTTATGCAAAATAATCAAAAATTGAATAATTTCGGCAAAATATTTCAATAAATCAAATGATAATTAATCATTTTCTGAATATTTAATTATAATTTGAATATATGACTGACAGAGGGCAGTAAAATTGGCGTGAGGGACGCTATTCATGTCGCATTTTTGCATATCATTGCGTTGATGATTCAATAATAAAAGAAAATAATCAAGATATTCAGGGAATAATTAGATATTTAAATATTTTTTTGGAATTATCAAAATTAAATAAAAATCAAGATATGGTTAAATAATCACAAAGTCGCGACTGATAATTTTAGAAGGGAAATATTGAAAATTATCCGTCCCTTTTGATTGTGTTAAAAAGGAAATTAAATGCATTTCATATCGCTAAGTATCGATAACTTCTAACACTTAAACCAGGAGTCTGAAGTTTAGCTTTCTTCCTAATTGAATATGATAAAAGACTTGTGAAAATAGAATAAATCCAAATGCTAGTCAATTTGGCGTTTGTTGAAAGACAAACTCAGTTTCATCCACGGTCATTGTCCGGAAGGAATATTAGAAAAAAGCTGTAGTTCACTGAAAACTAGATAAAACCCATTAAACTACAAAGTCTAGACTGATAAATTAGCGATTTTACAATATTCACCGTTATGCTTTGCAAAAACTTCTCTAATTGACTGCATTTCCAGATTTTTCTGGAAAGTCGTGAAATTCGTACTCATTTTGCACTTTTCAGCATGTTTAACCCTGGTTTTTTGGTGTGAAATTATTTAATTTGGTTTACAAGCGTTCTAATCGCGACATCTTGAATTGACTAAAAATCCCCAATTCTTTGTTCTTCTGTAAAGTTCTCTGATGTCGCAATGGAAGGACAGATAATGACTTAACGGCAATACAAGATCGTGTACGCAAAGAGTGTTATATAAAGAGCTTTAATGGAAATATATTTTAGTCACTCTCAAAGTCTTTGTCACTTCACACGAAATCCATTTACTCACTCAAGATATTAACTTGAGAATAAGAATTCTTTGATTTTTCAATTAATATTGTGAAAGTGCGTTTTAAAGTTTATTACATTTCAGGAAAAGCTTTAATAGCAAGTATATAAAATAATGTTTTAACTTTCAGGAGGTGAAGGAATTGTGTCCAGTGAAAGGTGGAGACAATTGGGAAAATGAGGCAATTTCTTTTGGCCTTGTGCCTCATCTTGGCAGCCGCGAGTGCTGCGAATGGACAACAGACGTCCACTGAATCCAGCACGGAAACCATGACAGAAGCCACCACAGAAGCGTCTGGTGAGTGGCCCGAGTGTGGCAGCGAGGAGATGCTGAAGCACTCGGACTTCACTGTCTGGGATTACTCCGTGGTGATCGGAATGCTGGTGGTTTCGCTGGGCATTGGCGTCTTCTACGGTTTCTGCGTGAAGAGCGAGAGCGGAGGCTCGTCGGAGGACTTCCTCCTGGGCTCTGGAATGGCTCTCTTCCCCGTCACACTGAGTCTCTGCACGAGCTTCATCACGGCCATCGAATTGCTGGGCAATCCGGCTGAGATGTTCTTCAGCGGCACACAATTCTCCCTCATCATCCTGTCCATGATTCTCGTCATTCCCATGGCCGTGAAGGTCTTCTATCCCATCTACTTCAAGATGCAGCTCACCAGCTGCTACGAGTACTTGGGCATTCGCTTCGGCAAGCGCATCCGCATCTTCGGCGCCATTCTCTACATCGTCCAGGTGAGCTTTCTCCACCGCAGCGCCGTTTGTATTTGAACGCACACACATTTCTCACGGCGCGCCACCTTCACTCTGCAGATGTCTTTCTACACGTCCGTGGCGGTTCTGGCGCCCGCTATCGCCCTCTCGAAGGCCACCGGCCTGGACACGCGCCTCGCCGTGGGGCTGATCTACCTGGTCTGCGTCTTCTACGCCTCGCAGGGCGGCATGAAGGCTGTCGTGATTGCTGACACATTTCAGGTGAGGTGGTGAATCTATTTGCCTAAACACTCGCCTCTGCTGGGTGTTAAATTAAAATTGAAGATTGCCCACCCGCGCCGACAATAAAAAGGGAGTTTTTATTGTCTCGCCCTGGGGATTAGGGGCAAATTTATGGGCCTTCTCACCGAGATTCCCTCTAATTGGGTCACCAAACAAGAGTTTCGGAGAAATTGGACAGCCAATGATGGCCTAATATAGCGATAACATGAACGAATTATGATATCTGCAGACTTTTCCAAGTTTCTCAATATAAATATATTTATTCAATTCATGAACAATTATTTCTCAAAACGTACAAACGTGTGATTTATTGCGTGAGTGCATAGAGAATTGTGCAATAGGAAAAGGCCAATTTCGTGACATTGATGAACATCACGAGATTGATGTCATAAATTCCAGCAGCTTTGAAGCCAAAGGGTCTCTGGGACATCATCATCATCAGCATGAGGATCTGTTTGTCCTTGTTGGAAAATTCATACCACTTTGTCAAGTACAATTCCGTGAATATCTGCTCGGTTTTGCCAAAGATGAACGCTCCGAAGAAGCAAAAAGCGCTGAATTGAAAGAAAATACCCAATATCATTGGGCAAAGGAAGTGATAGTCGTGCGTCTTCTGCATCATGAAAAACATGAATAAGAGCAATAAGAAACTTGCACTTAATTGCACAATAAATGTGTAGTAGAACAATTTGCTGAATGCCTGAAGTTTTTCAATAATATTGTTGTGATAAATGTGCAAAAGCAGAAAGAAGTTCTTCTCCCGCTTCAGCACTGAAGAATCGTCCAGTGTTCTGATGCAATCCAGAAGGATATTGAGTGGTGGGCCAAAATAGAGGGCAATTGCGATGATGACCAAGTCTGTGAAAACCAAATAAACAGCAACAAAACTTAGCAATGTAAGCTGAATTGAATGTCTGGTTAAGTAAGGCGTCTCAGGATTCATTGTGAACACCATCGTATCCATTGTAATGAGGTAGATTATCATAAACGATGATGCAACAACATATAAAATCGTGAAATATCTGTGAAATGAATGTAATTTTTAGGCAATTTCGCTAGAAACTACAAAATTTCTTATTATCATACTTTAAAACTGCCTTAGCAATTGTTAAGCTCCTTCGCAGTTGAATCGCAGCTGAAGTTTTTATAGTGTCAGAATTTGGTGGAGCGTAAAGTGATTGAATCCACTCAAACATGATGTTTAAGTCTTCCTTGCGCACAATAATCGCGTAATACTTTGTATCGATGAGAATGAAAGCGGTCTGAATAATCAGGTTTACAAAGAATTCATGAATATCACTCGTAGATTCGAATAAGCGGAAAGTATTGTTGAGCGTTATGAGCAGTAATATTCCAAAAACAATGATTTCTCCGTTTTCCCGGACATTTTTCCATCGCACAAAAGACAAAGAAGTAAAACTTCTGAATTTGGTGTAAGTTTCCACCAAAGCGAGGAACTCTTTGAAGCAATCAACGCGACCACTCATTTTGAAGCTTCACCTGATACTGACGTGGCAAAAGCTTCGCTGTTTCCTTCTTCGCGAAGGATATTAAAAATTTAATCGATGGTGCGTTTTTTTGCAACACTTGCGAAGTCAATAAAAATTCCCAGAGAAGAGATATTAAATAATTCAGTCTTCTTACAATGTAAGCAAGAAGACATTGAATGTCAGTAAGATAAAGAGATTCGCAGCATTAACAGCTTTTGGATTTAGTCAAAGCTACCGCGTGATGCAATTATTCTGTTGGTGAAAACAATCTTGTGTTCCTCTATTGAATATAAAAGCCACTTTCAGGTGCAGAAATCGCGTTTCATCGTTATAATTAAATATTTTAGTATAGAAAAATTGCTAGAGTTTGTGTGGAAAAGTCGTGGCAAATTCGAAAAGTGTTTCATAAATGACTGATTATAATTAAATTTTCATTCAAACGCCTCAGCAATTCTTCATTAAATTTTCCGAGCAATAAATGAGAGCATGAAATGCAGATGAATTCAGTTTGGAGACAAAAGAATTGGTCTTAAAATCCTGTCCACATTCTCAATAATCAGTGAATTAATTGAATAACTGTTGGTGTGAAATATAAAAGCAATAATGTCACATAATTTAATGTTTATTATGTGTTTAAGTACAACTTTAACAAGCAATACTTTAGATTTTGGTGATATAATTGCAATAATTGTCACACTCTTCAGTATGTTTTGCACAGTTTGCATTAAGTGTTATTTGTCGAACACTATAATTATACATTCATAAATAAATTTGAATGTAAACTAATTGAAATTCCGTCGAAAATATACACAGCCGAATGTTTTCATATCAATTTTCTCAACTCAGAGAAATCTTCGTAGCAAATTTAATAAAAAATATTGCCGAAATTTCGAGTCAAATTGGTTGAGTGCTGAAGGGCGCTCATGGGATTCAATGGTTCCCCTAGAATTTGTCGCAAAATATTTTCACCGTGCAGAAAACACTCCCCATCCCCCCCCCCAGCCCTCCTTGGGCTCACAGTAGAAATTGAATGTGATATATTTTCCTATACATTCAGAGGCCATGAAGCGCGCGCCCAAAGGAGGCAAAATAAGGTTTTTGCGTCTCCCTCAATTCCATCCTATTTCTGGACACTTTCAGGCATGTATTCTGGCGCTCTCCCTCGTCCTTGTCGTGTTGCTGGGCTATTTCTACTCGGGATCCTTCAGTGAAGTCTTCCAAACTGCCTCTGAGGGCGACAGGCTGGAATTTGCCAAGTGAGTATCATTTGTCGCATCGAATGGGCGAAAATGAATTCAATGACAACACTTTCTTACTCCCCCAGTTTTGACCTGAATCCAACGACGAGACACTCTGTGTTCAGCATTGTTATCGGAGGATTCTTCTACTGGTCCTCGATGTTCTGCACAAACCAAGCTTCTGTGCAGAAATGCATGTCACTGAAGCAGCTCAAGAGGGCGAAAATGGCCATCTATCTGGCCGTCATTGGTGAGTTAGATGCTATTGAGAGTGAATTTGCACGTGTGTATTTCTGTGGGCTGAAAACACCCCCAATTATTGGCTTGATAGAGACAAAATGTACTGCATTCTCAGGAGGAAAAAAATATTGCTCCAAATATCCTCTTATTCTGCACGATTATAAGCGCTTTAGAGGATCCCTATAACCGTGCAAATTGGCATAAATTCCCAAGCGAAATTGCATATATGGGGAAAAAAATAAATCGCTTCAGTAGTTTTGTGCGTCACAAATACTGTTGGATTGAACATGAAATCCTCTTCCTCCTGTCGAAGGTGGGCAGGGATGAATGAGAGGAAGAGAGAGAGAGGAAGAGTGAAAGTTGCGTGATCCACCGCAGGATGAAATAAATCCCAGTCACTAAATCCCCCTTTTTGGTGCGAGATTCCTGTGCGTATTAAATTCCCATCCCCAACTGGGACCCACAGTCGTTTGGGGCAGAGCTTCTGGGTGAAGCTGAAGCCCCCGCAAAATGTTCATCCCGGTGGAATCGATTGTTTACTGTGGTCTGTGATCAAGTTTATTGTTATACTTATTGAAAGGACACGGTATTAAATGTGGGTGAAATGCCACATATTGTTTGAGTTTAACATTCTTTCTCGACTTTTCAGCTGAAAATTCAACTCTAAAAATTATCCTTGTCGTAGTAATTCAGCATTTATTGTGTTTTTCTTTATTTAGAATTGTCAGAAATTCATTTCCAATCAGAAATACAATTTATTGCGCGGAGGTTTTTCTGTCAAATTGAAATATAAAACAATTTATTTAACTGTCGAAAGCTTTCAGAGTGAATTTCTGCATTTTATGCTTGATTTTGCATAATTAAATTAACTGGATAGTGAAATAATAAAAGACAGAGTCTTGAATTAGATCAATTAATTCGAGAGTAAATTAAAATTGCACAATTTCAATTGGAAAAAGGTGTCACTCTGATAAAATTCACCAAGAATTTTCCGCTGTCTCTGCGAGCAAGAGCTAAAGCAAATATTATTAATCGCTGACAGCGATTGTTCTACTGAAAGTTGTAGTGAAAGTTTCATTTGCAATCTCTGATCAATATTTACCTTTCGCAAAAATATCGACTTATTTAGACTCTTTTGTGTGCTTCTTCGCAATGAATATTTAAGCATTGAAGAGAGACTCCTTCGGATAGGAGAGAAAAATGGCTGAAGCAACTTTTATTGGTTGCTGTACCCACAATTCCACCCCAATGAATTTCTTACATTTGCGAGCTTGGCTAAATTATGGTTGAAATCTCTCTCGTCCGTTCTTTGGCCATATCATTAATCTCAGAGTTGCTTTGGAGCACTCTAAAATGCAGTGAATGAACTCTCTTCCACCCACGCGCCGTGTCAACAGGGGATGAAATTGAGTAATTCGCCAAGGACGTTCTCTCCTATCTTGAGGGGCGAGTCTGTGAGAATTCACTGAAAGCGGGACTCAATTGTCCGGAAAGTGATTTCCAACAATGCAATTTCACGAATTGTGCACCATTGACGGTCTCTCTTCTCCATCGCACAGGACTGATTGTGGTCTTTGTCATCAACTTCTACACTGGCCTCATGGTCTTCACCCACTATGCGCGATGTGATCCTCTGAGGGCGGGCGAAATCACGGCGCGCGATCAGCTGTTGCCGCACTACATAATGGATGTGTACAAAGGCGTTCAGTTCATGAGTGGCATTTTTGTCGCGGGCATCTTTGCGGCCAGTCTTGGGTAAGTTTCACACTGATTTATCGTAGTGTTTCCTTAGGAGAGAGACGAGAAGAATGCAATTGATTGGATGGTTGATGAATTATCCCATGAATTTTGAAGAATTCTATTGGAAAATCGACCGTCTCTCAAGATCTCCATTAAGAAATCCAGGACACTTGAAATATTCATCTCCAAATCTGCATTAGATTTGACTGTGGAGGAAGCAGCACTTGTGATTATTCCAACCACTGATTCAATTGCAATTTTCTTTGCCTATTAGAACCGTGGCGGCGGCTCTCAACTCCCTCGCGACGGTGACGTGTGAAGACATCCTGGTGGCTGGCATGAATGTTAAGATCAGCGCCGACAAAGGGGCTCTGTACGCTAAGTGGCTCTCCCTGGGGTGAGTAATTCACTTGCCAGTGAAGGTATATAGCGATTGAGGCACATCCCGCATGATGCATTAGCAGGAAATGCAAACAGCAGAGGAAATCGAGGAAATTAATTTGATTGACGCCACAGAGAATCTCTCTTCGTCTGATTCCTCACTCGGGGGCGAAATTCAAGGCGATGCCGAAGAGATAATCTGTATGGATTAGGCCCACATAATCTAGTTTGAATAATGATTTTTTCCACCCCCCGACTCCTCGCCAGGAAGCGTGTGCGTTCCTCTGTCACTCTTTTTTTCTCCTGCTGCCATCGCAGAGTGAAATTTCACGAGTGGATCTTTTGTCTTTGCCAATTCCCAACTGTGAAATGAACTCGCAAATGATTCCACGCGCATTTCCACCACTTCCACCATCGCACATAAAGTGTCGATTACATCGCGCCTGGAATTGGAGTTGACAATTTCAGTGTTGAGCATGAATTTTAGGAGGAAGCGTAGCATTTTCGTCCGTGATCTTGAGTGTTCGCAACTTCGGTCAGAAACAAGGGGGAGATAATATGCCTCAAATATGTACAGCACTTCGTGACACTTCTAGAAATTGAAATTTGTAGTTTGTTTCCACATTATTTTCCAAATTGTAATGAATCTCTTAAGTTTCCATCCGATATTTCTGCAAGAATCCATTATAACTGCTTTTTTGGCCACCTTTTCCGACCATAACCTATAAATATTACTAAAAGATCTTTAAAGAGTCCTTTGAAAAGTCTTCCAGATCACAAAATTATCTCTTATGATTTGCCAATTAAGTCTATATTGCTGATTCACAGTCAAAATCACTCAGAAAGTTCCCTAAAAAAGCATTATCAAACTCAAAATCAATATTTTTGAGGTTATATTCGACTTCGACTCAATTTTTTGTGTTTCTTGGCATCAAATGTGCAGAAAAGCGATGTTTATCGCATGCAAATGCCTAATTGATGTGCTAGAATGCGAATTATTCACTAAACCTGTCCGTAATTTGTTACATAACCTAAAAAAAGGATTTTTGGATTTTTTCTACGTAAAAATCATAAGAGGTCCGAAGAAGTGGGATAATTTGTCAGTAAAAGAAGCACAAAGTGGAGATTGCAAGCTTTTTGAACACTTCCACTTCTTAAGGACTTCTGCTGAGCTGTACACCACTTCTGACTGTGTTATCTCCCCCTTGGTCAGAAGTGGAAGAAGCAGAGATGCGAAAGATGACACAGGGAAATTGTGAAAGTGGAACTGCAATTTCCCGGGCTTCCTGCTCTCTCTCTCTTTTTCTCTGTCTCGTTATTTAGGAAAGTTTTTGCGCTTATATCAATAATTTTCCTCGGTTTTTTTTCTTCTCGTCCTCTATTGACACACACACACACACACACACAGACAGAGGGATAAATAAAAAATTGGCGCCATGCAAGGAGAAAATTTCTGCATTTGACTTGCAAAAAAGATGAATATTAAATAAAGCATCATGTGTTGCAAATTCTGCACATGACCTAATGGAGCGAATGGCGGAAATGTTTTATACACTTCAACTGTGAAATTTAGTATGTGAGAAATAGGTACAAAGGAATTTTAATCAATAACAAACAAGATTTCTGGGTGAGCGAAATTTTTCCTCTCTTCGTAAATTGTCAGTTTTCTCCCAAATGTTGAGCATTTTCACTCGAGGGAATGTGTATATATGTATTTTTCTCGCTGGGGTTGAGCACCAGCCAATTAACCAGCTGCACAAACATGCAGTTTTCGGAAAAGTTCTGATGCTGAGACAGCCAAGTTGGGGGTTGTTTTTCTGGCTTTAAGTGTGCACAGCAAAGTGAGTTGCAGTGTTGGCAAATGAGCTTTTGTTTCAGCGAAACAATTCCCGCTAAATCTCTTATGAATTTGAGTATATATATTTTAGTGCACTTTTCGCACCAAGTGTTGCCTAATTTTTGAGCTCAACACGAGAGTGTTTGGAAAAAAAATTTAATTAAATTTTCGTATCGCTCACTTGAGAAAATTTGTCAACACAGAGGAGGACTTAATATTTTAATTTCATGGCAAATTAGATTGCAAGAAAGTTGCACAACTCTTGTTCACTCTCTCAATGGTGTGTAGTTTTTGCAAGGGGAAAACCACTAGGCAATTTTTGTGGAATCTTCATGGTTCCAATTAAATATTTAAATATCGATTTTTTACTTTGCAACTCTGTTGGATTATAAAAAAATGTTTATTTTCCACTTTGAATTGCAAATTAAGCAAAAATGGAATATTTTCGTGGAAAAATATTGAAATAAATCAAATTATATTTACACATTTTCCCAATATTTAGTTGAAATTGAAATATTTTATGATTTTCTCCATATATTGCCGATAGAGGGCAGCAAATTTGGCGTGAGAGAAGCTAATAATATCGCATTTTTCGCATAATTTTCTCTGTCTTCCCACGCTTTCTCACACATTATTACATCCTGTCATGATTCTGAACAGCTAATAAAATTTAAAAGACATGTAAAAGTTCCGGTTGTATTTACCGAAGGTAAATTTGGCCCTTTGAGTTGTTCAACACTTTATTACAATTAAAAAAATTATTTTGCATAATAGTTAGAGTATTTAAAACTGTTAGGAGATTATTTAGAGATGTTTAAACCCTCCAAATTTGTCAAGAAAATAATCAAAATTTATATAACAGTCACGAAAAAATAGAAAATGATTCCTCTAAAATACAGTAATTGTGTAAGCAATTTTTATTAACATTTTCAACCATAGTTTTTATCGAAGTGATTTACTCCTTTACACGAGAATTGTTTCAATTGTTCCAATCAGTGGAACATTTGTGCTGTCTTGACAAGAATATTTGAGGTATTTTGTGCAAGCAGAACTCACGTCTTGTCTGTCTTGTCTGGGTTGGATATTATTTAATTAGAAAATCTTATGGGCGAATGCATTCGGGGCGGAAGTGTGGAGGGGGCGGAGGGTGGATTGCAGGAAGCATGGCAAAGTGAATGTGGAATTAATCTGGAAATTGGACAGATGTCGTTGATTGTGGGTCACAGAGAGTTTTGCGGACATGAGGCGCAGATGATTTGAGAATTGCAAATGAGTGGCTTGGAGTTGAAGGGAAGAGTTTGGGTTTTTAATGAAATTTCGCCATTTTCATTTCCCAGCTTTGGTGTCTTCTCGTTCGTGCTGGTGTTTGTGGTGGAGAAACTCGGCGGCATTCTTCAGGCCACACTCACCCTGAATGGGCTCATCGGTGGTGTCACGCTGGGACTATTTCTACTGGGAATACTGTTCGAGAGAGCCAATTGCACGGTGAGTATCTCCAGACATAAATTTCTTTTCGTGCTCCTCGGCACGGACATCCCATTCATCACGCTCCCGCGGGAAGAGGTGGTGAAAATTTAAAAAATTCAATTTCTCCCGATGTGCGAAGGATGATTCGGTGGAAATCCCGCCAATTTGCTGCAAACTTGCCACACACACAAACACTGTTCGAGAGTGAAGAACAAGTGTGAGAAATGAGTGCACAGGAGTGGCTTTAATTTTTGATGTTGATATAAAAGCACATGTTGAAACGACTGAAAAGGATATTCCCTTTGGGTGAGGGTGTGAGAAAGGGCAGAAAGTGCAATTTTCAGCATGTGATAAATCAGAATTAAAATTATTAACTGCATAAGCTGCAGAGTTTGGGACTTTTTCTCACTCCCAACCTCGAATGTTAATTTTCCTTATTTTCCACCCAAACCTTTTTTATCCTCTGGCCACTTTTCCTCTCTGGCCTTTGGTTTCAGGCCAAAATCCCGTCTCTCTAGTCACCTCCGCGGGAGAGCAAATGTATCAAAACCGCAGGACACTCAGTGAATGTGCTTTTCGACTAGAGATGAGAGTCAAATAGTTGTATTAGCTTTCTGATTATTGTTAGCATAGTTTCATGGTTTCTCTGCGTTTTCTGTCTCACTTCTCACATTTCGACGGATGAATTGAAAATTATAGTAAAAAGTTATTCTCGAGGAGGGCAAATATGGAATATTTAGTGGTAATAACGCTCTGATATTTGCCGAAATTATCTCCAAACACCTTCTAATCGTTCATTAGAATGATAATATTGGTCTGTGATAATTATTTTGTATACGTTCTAGTTAATTTTGTTGGTATTTATTGGAATTTTTGACTGAAATATGGCAAAAATGGTAGAAAAATTGAAAATTGAGTCTTCAAGTACATTTTATCCAAACAGATACTAAAAATCAACCCTCTCAGTAGGCCAGCAATTCAGGGATTAGTGAAGCATGTAGTAAGCTTCACTAATCCCTGAATTGCTGGCCTTTTGGACTCTCATCTCTGCTCTCCTTGTGCTAAAATCTTGTCCACGGGGACTTTATGTTGTTGCGGCGAGAGTTGGAAAAATTCCAACGGCCCAACACAGCGCGTCTGTTAGATCACTAATTGAATATAAACATAAATAAATGATCCGGTTGTGCACTCTTGCCGGCCAGCGGGTGTGCACACGAGGGCCTCCGTGTGCCGGAATGCCGCTTGGCGAGACACCCCGCGTGTCTCGGAGCAGATTAACATGCTTTACTCTTTGCGGCTGGTCGTTGCAGGGCGCCTTCTATGGTGGTCTCTCATCCCTCGTGGTCATCCTCTATGTGGGCATCATGGCGCAACTGACTAGCCAGGATGTGGAGCCGCTGCCCACATCCATGGAGGCGTGCGAGTGCTTCCTCAACACCACGGCGGACGCACTGTCTGCTGGCGAGCAGGAAATGGACTCTGGGTGAGTTTATATCCTCCATTCTCTTTCGCATTTTTTGGCACCGATATTCAAATCGCGCGGCGAATGGGCGAAATTTTTGGGAAAATACATTCGCCAAAAACTTTGCCCAGAAACTCATTTCAGCCCAAAAAACTTTTCGGCAGTTCATTTGCCAGTGTTTCTCTTGTGCTTTTTAGCATGGAAAAATTCACTTAAAAGTTTTATTCCAATTTGTCTCTCCTTCTGCTGGACACATTCTATCTAAATTAATTCTGCCATGCGAAGCGCAAGCATTCCACAAGGCAAAAAAAGGGACTGTGTTTGATAAATTCAGCGTAATACAATTTCTTTCTTTTCGCTATGGATAAACACTGAAATATGCTCAGAATTTTCATCAAGTTGACCGAAGAATAGACACGGAATTGCTTATAATGATGCATGTTGTGGGGATGATATGATAAATACTTCGTCTGCAAAATTTAATGAGCCTCTGCATATCAATAATTAATTTAATCAGATCACTGTGCATCTAATGTGTTGCATGGCAAATTTCTCAGGGAAATTTAATTAATTAAATTGATTATGCGCCTCATTGGTAGTTATCAATTCTCTCTCATTGATGCGTTGAAATTCATTTGCAGCTTCCCTCTGTTCCGCATCAGCTACATGTGGTACTCCTTCCTGGGCATGGCACTGACTGTGGTGCTGAGTCTCCTCCTCTCCTGGGTCAGTGAGACTGTCCAGAGGAGGCGCATTCTCAGGATCACCAAATCATCGCAGGTGACAAATGATCTGCACAGAGGCAGCATTTCCATCTCCGTGATTCAACCACCAAACGTGATTGATGGTGACAATCATGAGCCGACGAAGGCTCCGTCTCGTCCACAATTTTCCCATCGATTCACGGGATTTGACAATAAGGCGCTTACCATGGACGATGTGTGAAGTGTGGGAGGATGAAAAAGGACACACTGGAGATTGCGAGAAAGTTACAAGTATAAGAGCAGCAGTGCTATTAATTCTAAATTAAGTTTTGAGTCTGATAACGAGGCAAACTTTTTCCACTCACTCTCTCTCTCTCTCTCTTATTGGCGACAAAGAAGATAAAGTGTAAGAGGTTGAAGGAATTAAGGAGGAAAACCTTCAAGGGGATCTCCAATTGCGCACATATTCAGAAGAAAAATCCTTCACTTTGCTCAAGTTGAAGATGAATGAAGAAAAGTGCGAATAATTAATTTTGCTTATCAATTTTATTGCATAATTATTACACAAAGTGATGTGAAAATTGCAAAAATTTCAAGCAAATTGCATTGCAATTGACGCTGTGCAGTGAATGCCAGTATTATTAAAGTAGAATTCTCTCGTGCTTGGAAATATAATAGCGAGCGAATCAGACATCAAAGTTATAAATCTCTTCTGGGACAGATGGTCGGAGGATTTTCACCCTCTGCCAAGGGGAGTGTCGACGGACGGAGAAATTAAATTAAATTTCATTGCTGAGGAAGCGTGATGATAGTTGTTGTTTAACTTGATAGCTTTATTGAGGAAATTGTACAAGTTTGCTCTTTCTTTCATTACTCGACCGGAATTTTCATTGCCACTTGTGTGAATGTCTTGCGAAGCAGCATTATGTCCCTTTTGCTAGATTTTCACACAATTTAATTTACTTGATGTCTCACTACATCAAATGAATTTGTATGAAATGCTGAATGTGGGAAATAATTATGGGGAATATCGCTCTAGCGCTAGAGTGTGATGCACTCTAGGCTAGAGCTGTTGATGCATCGCTGTAGAGAAGTTCTTATTGTCTATACTATTGAAATACGAGAATTTTCACTGTGATTTTAACAAATGCAACATGTCAGTAACATTGTAAGATCATTTCTCTTATCAATATTTATATATTTTTTCAATAAGAAAATCCTATTTATTAATAGTTAATTATAAACTAAACTATGTAGATTTTTTTACAGCAGTGTTGCTCTATTGGTACAAATTTTCCACCTCCTAAATGTGACAAGATTTCTTCGAAATAAACAGGTATATAACGACGAATTAAGAGCCAAAAAGCTTAGTCTGTAGTACGTTAAATATGTATACAAAGGAATTTTAATCCTACAGAATTTACACGAATAAAAATAATTAGTAGACAAGATTTTAAATGGGTTTTAAATGGGTTTCCAACGAAATCCTCTCAATGCACGTGTTACACAACTTTAAGGCAAATCAACTCGCATTTCCACTCGAAAGACTGCTCAAGAGACTGAAGTGAATTTTTCTTTCAAAGAATCCCCGAAGGGCTTTTATGTGTTGAAATTGCGATGAGCTGCTTTATTCAAAAAAATTTTTTTGACAAAAATTGATGCCACGTGCCGAGGAAAAAGGACGCTAAAAGATGATAAATTTTCTCATTGATATTGACACATGATAGGTTGTGTGCGGTATCTCTTTGTGAGTGAAAAATCTGAAGGAGAAAGCCTCTTGATGGTCGCATGTAATGAAAATAAGACGCTTTATTCTCTTGTAGTTGAGCTTATCAGCCGCACCGCGAAATCTCTCGAGAATAGGGAGAGTGAAGACGGCCGGGAGTCAACGACAGACACGAAATCGTCTCGTAATGGCCTATTATCCAAATTGATAGTGGAGAATAGGGAGTCGAGACAGGGCTATCAAAACAATTAGAGTGACATTAATGATGCCCTCACGTGACGCTGATGACTCCAAACGGGGTTTTTCGGGTGCTTCACAAGCGCGTCCGGGGCTCACGAGAGAGTGATTAACCCAGTGGCTGTCGTTGAGAATTGTTTTTGCCAGCCAATCGAGATTTCTTGCCTCAACTCAGCGCGCACACTGCACCCAATCGATTGGCCACCACCCCCCACGAGAGGGTGAGTGGCAAGAGAGGCAAGGAGATTAATGTCGGGGATTAGATAAAGTGACTAATTTGCCACTTTGGAGGGAAAAGAATCAAATTGCAAAGAGAGTAAATTTCCCTTTTAAGCGCAGTGGCGAGAAGCGACACGTGAGACGCGCGCGCGCTCTTCTTTTTATGGATTGCATGGCGAGGCACGCGAAGATAAGGGCCATTAATAAAGTGGATTAGGATTGAAAGCTTCGGAAAGGGATGGCGCTCTTATTATTTGGCGAATCTGCCACTTGGCACGATGCCGCGCCCGGAGATGCAACATTTTAATCCGTGCACCTTCACGACCTGACGCCCACATAATGGATATTTAAGTGTGCACGAGACCAAGCGGAAGTAAGTACGCTGGAAGGGCAGGTGAATGCGCCTCACCTTCTCGTGGGTTATCTTTTAGCGGTGAGGTGATCACACTGAGCGGCTTAGCATCGCCAGCTGTTGATAGAAAACCGCGAAGAACGACGCGCAAAGTATGAACCGCAATTTTTCCGACTATCGAATAAACAAATAGTTTCAGTCAAGGGGGAGATATGGTGATTCAAATTGGTGTACAGTTTAGTGGAAGTGCTTGAATATTTGCAATATTAGGCGTTTAAGAAAAGTAAATAGACAAAAAAAGTAAAATATTGCGTCTTTGTCGGTAAAAGACTCTTAAATTTTGGGGTAAAATCTATAAGATTCAAAAACAAAGAGAAGGAAACAAGAAAAAGGAAGTTTCAAACACAGAAATTCATTATATTTATTCAAATTTGATATAAATTCCCGGTAATTCGAGAAATTTCGCGTGGCTTTCGAAATTTTAATTTTCACCTGAATAAAAGTCTTTCGTGATGGGCAAATTAGTCGTTTGATTTGAGCAATTTGCTGTGGTTTGTTTGCTGTATTTTAGATTTTCGATATCATGCAACACGCACTCGAAACTTCCACCCAGAAAAGCCCTCGAGTTAGCAGGAAAACTCCTCATTATCCTTTAGTGGACATGCAAGAAAGTTTCACTTTGGCAAATTATTAAATTCCCAGGCCAGAGGAGTCCGGAAGCAGAGCTGATGTGCATGCGATGAAGGCAAATAAAGGACAATCTCGTTGGTTGTATATTTTGCAGTGGGCGGAAAAGGATGGAAAAACGTGAGAGATAAATAAATAAAAATAGAGTGAGGAGGAGAAACTTTTGCCCTGGACTCAAATGGGACACTTTGTCTTCCTCAGTCGGTGGAGCGGCGCAGCCAAGAGCCCTTCGTGTCCCTCAATGGTTCATTTTATGCCAGCTTTATGGCCTTTAAAATGAATGGCCGCCGTGCGGGCCTTGTTTCGGGGGGCTGATGGAGTGCGGCCAGGACCACGACCGATAAACAGTCACATGTCCTGGCGCGGCAAGCGCGGGGGCGCAGAGGAACAGGTGAGAGAGATGAGGAGTGACGACATTCCCGGGGGCTGAAGAAACGTGCCAAGCGGCGAAGGGGACATGGCGACACGCGCGTAACATGGAAGCGCAATTTATGAAATTATTTTTATGGACCCAGGAAACATCCCGAGCTGTGCGGAAGGCTTTGCAATTTCGCTCGTAAATATGGCCATCATAAATGCCCCGAACATTCACCGAGTATCGCTGGCATCTAGCAAATTGATTCCCCATTCAGGAGCCATAAATTCTGTCACTGGGTCCGCGATGGGGGGCATGATTTAGTGGCGACATGCGGGGAATTCGTCACACAGGAATTTCCCAGATCAACAGGGTGATTTTCATGGACACCCAGAGAGATGAATTGACTGAGAATTGCGATCTTGATTTCCTAAACGTCTCACTAGACTTTCGGTGATTTTTGCAAGCAAAAGACGCTTTTGGTTCTTAGAATAGAAGCTTTTTTTTTTAAATCATTTTACTCAGTGAAATCAAATTTTATTGCTTTTCTAGGTTATGTGATCAATTTTAAATCGATTCTGGCGATTAGAAACCTATCAAAATCATAAAATTTGTATTTAAACTGCAAATTTTACAAATTTTCTGGAAGTGTAAAGCATTTGTGTTGAAAATAACTTCGTATTAGCTTAAAAAAAGTGTAAAAGTCAATCATAGCCTCAAAAACATCATTTTAGTCTAGTATTATTTCTTTTTTCTTAGTTATTTCTTTGGTTTGAACTTTAAATGAGCAAAATCAACCTCAATTTCTAATAGAAACACTGTGATATTAAAATTATTCCCAAAAGGATTTCTTGAGTTGATTTATAACCTCACAATTTGGTCAGAGTTTAGAAGCTAGACAATTAAGACAGAAATTGCTCATGAACAAATCCTGAGGACTTTAAAATCAGTTCTCACTATCTGAAATCTAAAAGCTTTAGAAGAGGTTTTGACCCTCTTGAGACGGAAAACCTAGATAAGATTGTGATACGATAGAAATTAGTGAAAGAAAGAGTCAAAGTTGTCTGAAAAGCGATGGAAAATGCCTTTAAAAGCGTTCAAAAGTGTCTTAAATGTTGCACAGAAACTGCGGAAGTGTTACGAAGTGGTTAAAGACATATTATCTCCTCCTTGAGAATATCAATGGAATGAGTGAAGTGAAATTATCGCCATCTCTTCATTACAGATGAACTCAAACACACTCATGGGCGAAGCTATTTGGGAAAATGCACAGAAAATCCTTCAGATATAATCATCCAAATAGACACTCTGCAGCAATGCTGTCAGTTCATGATGTGCGAAGGCTAAAAGCGCCCTCGCCAAGGAGATGTGCGAGGATGAGAGAGAGCGGCGAAGAGAGCCTCAAGAATCACTAAAGCAATTTACTTTGCAGCCGAGGAGGTTTGCTCTGCACAAAATCCCTCCAAAGAGTGGTGAGTCAATATTGACTCTCGGGAGACACAGAGAGGTGAAAGTTCGCCGGTGTTTGTTTGCGGTGCATGAAAAGGTGAATGAAAGGACATTGTTGAGATATCCCGAGAGGAGAACATGAAAATCCTTAGCAGTCCGCCTCAGGATGGCGTTCGCCATTTTTGCCAGCTAAAGCTTCAAAATGTACATCATCCATTGTGCACTTCTCTCGACACATTTTCCTTGTAACTTTAATTGATTCCCAAGAAGAGACACGCTAAATTGAAGCAATTAAAAGTTGCTCATCTAATTGTACTACACTTGATGGTGTTCCTCGCAAACGACATTAATCAGCAGCGGAGCTTTGCAAATGCACCTGGGAATCGAATACATATATTTAATTTCATAGAATATGGTTTTGGAGTAAGATAAATTAAGCAGCTTTTTTTTGAATATCTGTCAGGAATAAGATTCTTTTCGAGACTCAAATAGCAGCAATAATAAACATTTTACACTTCTTCGAGCACAGCATATAATCCAGACAGAATTTCACTCTCCTTGTTCACTGCATTGTTATAGTTTTCCTTATCTTGACACACTTGCGATGTGGAAGGCGCAAGAAATTGTTTTTCCATCAGGATCTCTTCCTGGAACTTCTGCTATGGGAATATTTATGAAAATCCCAACAACGAAAAGTTTCATTGAATTTGGCACAAAAGAGAATTATTCCCGCAACAACATTTGCTTCTTCGGGAAACTTTCGGCACTCCTGGAAGTGTGAAAAGAAAAGTGCAGAGAGGCAAAGGGAAAAAAGAGGGAATTTTCGGAATGGCGACACCCGAGTCGCTGCCATGAATAGATGGGGTGGCATTGCTGTAAGTTTTTCCATCTTATGCCCTCGTCCATTCCAGTTTCCCGGCTTCGTGACTTCCCAGGACGAGAGCGCCGGGATGTTTGCATGAATTTTTCCTCTGGCACCATTTGTGCAGATGAAAAGTATCGCTTAGCCATGGCTGTCCTGTCATTCTTTTCCCCACCACGGAATATTCAATAATGCAAATTTGTCTCGCAAACTATCCGGCTCAGTTTCGCCCATTCCCCAAATAATGCCTTCGGGGGATGGAGAGCCCCACGGAAGGCCGGGCGGAGGCTCAACACGGCCCGTAAATTTGCCATTCACTCGTGACTTGTAAATCCACCGCAGTATTACAGATAAAAGCGAGTAAATAATGCAGCTCCATTGTCGGACAAAATGTATGTTTGAATGCATTCGAAGTCATCAGTGCTGAAAGGGCATGATGACATGCTGGAGCTCTGTGGCTTTGACACGCTTCAAATATGCAAATAAATAAGTGCACATGGTTAATTTATGACTGACCTTCTAATGAGTGAAAAGCTCAACTGGAAATGTTGTGAAT